AGCTACTTGGGAGGCTGAGGCAAGAAAATCGCTTAAGCCCAAGAGTTTGAGGTTGCTGTGAGCTGTGATGCTATAGCACTCTACCAAGGGGGACATAGTGAGACTCTGTCTCAAAAAACAAAGCAAACAAACAAACAAAAAAAGAACAGAATACCTGATTATCTCTACGTATGTCATTGGCTAGAACTCAATTATGTTATGCCAAATGTGTGTGTACCAAAAAAAAAATTTTTGGTACACAATTTTTTCACTGTCAATTTATATGCAATCATAAAAAATTTTCAAAAATGTGATTAAATTTTAATAAAAATGTATTGTAGAAAATGAAAAAATTGAATGTATACAATTAATTCCAGACAAATGTCAGCCATTCATATCAAAAATTCTCTCTCTTTTCTCTCTTCTGTAACTCCTATCAGAAGTATGTTCTTATCTTCCACTTGCCTCTTAAATTCTCAAATGTTTTCTTTACTACTTTAAAATCCTCAGTGCTATTTTCCAGTTTGCTAATTCCATCTACATCCCTGTCAAATCTACTCTGTGCCTGGCCAATTTTCATTTTATATTATTTTATTTTTTATAATAGATTGCATAATATATTTTATTTTTTAAAGTTGACATCACATCTTTTCCTTATTTACCATATTTTGTACTACTTTAAGTGGTGTTTATATTAAAGATACCAACTTCTCACATGCTACAAAGACTAAGAATGTATCATTCACAATATGAACTTTAGTGAATGATAAATTCCCCTTCTGAGGAAGAGGTCATGTGCAGAATTTTATTTGGAAAAAATTTTCCCATTACAATCACCTCAGCACTCTCTATTCTCATCTGTCTTCCTATAGCTATAATGAGCTCAAGAGCTTCTACTGAAGCAAAGTCATGAATATACATGAACAATGCCTACTGAAACTGTAAATAAGAACTAAATACATATTGGGAGAGGGAAAAAAAGAATGGAAGTGAAATTCAAAGTGAAGAATGACATGAAGAAATAAATAAAAGTTGTAAGTGGCATAAAACATGGATTATGTAGAGTGCCTTTAAAATTATCTTAGCAGGGCAGTGCCTTTGGCTCAGTGAGTAGGGCACCGGCCCCATATACCCAGGGTGGAGGGTCTGAATTGGTCCTGGTCAAACTGCAACAAAAAAAATAGCCAGGCGTTGTGGTGGGCGCCTGTGGTCCCACCTACTCAGGAGGCTGGGACAAGAGGATCACCTAAGCCCAGGAGCTGGAGGTTGCTGTG